TTTTCCTCAGTGTTCCAGGATTCATTGTTTATGTACCACACCCAGTGCCCCATGAAATACGTGCCCTCCTTAATACCCACCACCAGGTTCACCCATCTCCCATCCCCTCCCCTCTAAAACCCTCAGTTTATTTCTTGGAGTCCACAGTCTCTCATGGTTCATCTTCCCCTCCGATTTCCCCCACTTCACTTTTCCTTTCCTTCTAATGTCCTCCGTGTTATTCCTTATACTCCACAAGTAAGTGAAACCATATGATAATTGACCTTCTCTGCTTGATTTATTTCTCTCAGCATAATCTCCTCCAGTCCCCTCCATGTTGATACAAAAGTTGGGTATTCATCCTTTCTGATGGAGACATAATACTCCATCGTATATATGGACCACATCTTCTTTATCCATTCATCTGTTGAAGGGCATCTCAGCTCTTTCTATGGTTTGGCCATAGTGGACATTGCTGCTATGAACATTGGGGTACATATGGCCCTTCGTTTCATTACATCTGTATCTTTGGGGTAAATACCCAGTAGTGCAATTGCAGGGCCATAGGGTAGCTTTATTTTTAAGAAAAAAAAATTTTTAATCTGAAGATAAGGTGGGAATAAGACAAAATGGAGAGCCTGGACTATGGAAATAAAATACTGAGAAAGGTTTTCACAGTTCAGCTTTTATTAACATTAAGTATGGGAAACTTGAACTTGATTCCTCTTGAAATCATCCATTTGAGGAACGGTTTCTTCGGCTATCGCTGTAACTGATGGAGCCTGGGACAAGTGTTCGTTTGCTGGATAGATGGGCTCTAACATCCAAGCAGAGAATAGGAGATCAAGGACCTTACTGAAGCAGTGTGTTCACAGGGCATCAGTGATCAAGTCAGGTCGCCTATGGACAACCACATGGACAGAGCACCCACACAGACATACACATTCAGCGTCTTGAGTCTTCTTTCAAAGTATTTTATACATCATATACAAATTAAACAAAAAATCCAACAAGGGTCCTTTATTGCCACTGAAAAACAGGGGAGAATGGTTTTCAATCTCATAGCCATGGGCAAGAACGTAGTACTAGGGCGATTTGTTTCTCCAGATGCCACCGTCACATGCATTCCTGCCTTGGCTGATGCCATACCCATGAGTCACTCAGCCCCATGACAAAGGCTGTGCAGGTGCTATGAGGCAGTGGTTATCCACTAAAGAAGTCTCTTCCCTTCCCAAATGTCGAAAATGCTGCTGGCTCACCTGCTCGGTCACACAGCACACACAGCACAGCTAAACACGAGGGGCTTAGGACTCTAAACAGTGCAAATACTTAAAAAAAAAAAAAAAATACATTCTAACCTCTTTGCTTCTCCACGCAAACAAAGCCTTAAAAACTCCAGCTAACTGGAATATGAGTTTGCTCAACCTCCCAACCTGATCCAACAAGGTGCAAATGGGGAGCATCGAGGCAATTCAAATGGCACCTGTCCCAATAATAATAAAAATAAAAGACTGGTTTAATGAGGCTAATGGCAGATAAATACATAAAATAGAGCCTGAAGTGCAGACACAGCTCAAGAAGCAAGTTTTAGGTATACTGTGAAGCACACGTTTAACACATTCTTAATGATCGTGAGGAGTAAGCCCTCTTTTAAAGTTCATAGAGAAGATGCTTCCAAAAGGGACATCCTCCAGCAACAAAGGCCTCTAGCTGGTAGAGGCTTTGGAAGAACGAGGGGCAGAAGAGAATGAGGATTGGTTTGCCAGATCTAGGAAACTCCTGGGAGTAGGCCCTTCAGGGCAGCCCTTTCTCGAGCTCCTCCATGCCACCGCATGCCAGGCTCAGCACCAGGCAGTGAGAGCCACCAGGAGAGGGGCCAACCAGCCTCCCCTCTGCAAAGAGCAGACTCCAAAAAAAATAAGTGGTCAGGCAACATAGTTGGGGAATTGTTGAGTCAGGCTAAACATTAGTCCCTAAGCAATTCCAGAAACACCAGGGATTGTGTTTTCCAGCAATCTCCCTTGAATATGGCATCAGAAAGAAGACTCAAAGTCAGAAAGATTCATCTATCTGGAAGTACTAAAAAAAAAAAAAAAAATCAGTTTTTGGAGGGTGACAAGCAGACAGAAAATAGCTACAGGCATGAACTAGGAGACAGCATGACTTACGGGAACACAACACTTCATTATCATGGATAATAAAAATCAATTCAGATATCCTAAAAAATGATCTTATAAAAATATCTACATTAAAAGTTTAGCCTGAATGCTATAGCTTCAATTTTATAAAAAGGCAATCTTTGAAAGGCTCTGGCTCAGGAATATACAAATATTACACAACAGATATCAAAGTAACGCCGCTCAAAAGCATGTAAGGGGGTATTGCAACTAGTTTGTCGTGAAACAGAATTAAGTATTCTTATTGCATAGAAGAAAATGAGGTCAGTTTCATTTGCATAATACTGCAACTTTTTAGAAGGAGAGATGCCATTAGGTACTGAGGAGAAGGAACTTTGGGATTCAGAGTCTGACTTCTGTGATGTCCAAATCAGTATCCAAGCGGCGTCTAAGCAGCTTCTAACCTTGGGCCGCAATTCCATTTCATCACCGTGATCAGCTTTCAGATCCACCTCCCCGCAAAGCTGCATGCACAAGCAGCTGCAGCCACCAAATTGGTGGGGGGGCAGGGGGCGGTGAGGGGTTCACCTACCACGGGACCAGCACAGACTTGAAATCAAGTGGGCTGTGTGCACTGTGGAGAGAGAATCATACCTAGTGATAGAGAGACAGCAGGTTTTAAATGGCATCTGTGGGCAGCAAGAGCCGAACGGCTTTTTGGTGGTGACGTACCAGTGCTGGAGTCCCTGTGAGAAAGGACACGTGAGGACGAGGTGACCATGGCCTCAGCAATACTATCAGCAGGGGGCAGTGCTTCCCAGCAGGTGGAACCAATAGCAAAAACCCCAAGAGCAGAAACCATGGCCAGTGTGCTCTCAGGGAAGGGACTCGCTCTGGGCAGATTAAAAACAAGAACCTCCCCCACATGTGCATCCAAGTCTAACTCCTAGAGGTGTTGGGAAAGGGGGTGGGAAGTTCACCTTTCATCCGAAATCAGGAGCTGTGTGAACAGCACACGAGGGACCCCATCCCCCAGCCTCATCCCCACCAGGAAACAAAACCGAGTCCCAAACCCTCCTCAGGCCGGGAAGAAAAACGTTTGCGACAAAAAGCTCATTTTGTCAGCCTCCGAGCCCAGGCAGAGCTCTGAAGCCACAGGCATCTCCAGTGCCAAGTGAGAGCACAGCACCCAAATGAAGGCATGCCTTGATTCCTTTGGAGACATTTCCTCCAGGCCCAACAAAGCTGGATATTCCAGCCTCTTCTGGATGCCTTGATGCTAAGAATTCCGGATGTCTTGGTGCTGCCCTCCAAATGTCTCACTGACATAACATCTGCTCAACAACAGAAGTCGTTTCTTCTTCAAGAGAGTTGAGTGTTCAGTGCACAAAAAACACACAGTAAATACACAGAGAGGCCAGCTAGCTAGGGAGGCTACTGGCTTCCGAACTGCAGCCGGGAGCTGGAGGGGATGCCAGGCTCCCGCAGGATCTGCTTGGAAGTAGCCCAGTTAGATCAGAAGTCCCACATCAGGTTTCATAACGCCCCTTGACTCCTGTAAGTGGACCCCAAAATCAGGGAGCATTAAAGCCCAGCCCTGATGATGTCAGAGTACTCTCCAGACACAAGACCTTCCCTCCTTATGCCACAAATTCCAACATAAGTGACTTGCAAGGTGAGGAATAGATTCACCTTTCTTCCTTCCTGCCTGCCTTCCTTCCTCTTTCTTTCTTTCTTTAATGAAAATCATTCCTCAAATACCCACCACCCCCTCCAGATGTTTGACGTTCTATCATTAATAATTTCTACCAGTGAATTAGCAAAGCTCTCACCAAGCTCCTCTTTTAAAATGCAAGTATCCCTGAGAGAGATCACACATCCTGGGCATTTACCACCATCTCCTCCCTCTCAGGAGAAACAAGGAGGAAAAGAGTATTCTGAGGGTACAGGCCCTGGAACAGGGGGAGAGCACAAGGAAAGGAAGACGAGGACCTCAGACAGACTTGACCATCACCATCTAGTGCTGAGGCCCAGCCCCAGCTGGTATACTCCCTTGAAATCATCCACAGTGATCTAGATCAAATAGGACCCCTAAGGCAGGGGCAAAACTATCTCTGGGTTTGGAGGTAGGGTGACCTTTTATTTATTCTCCAAACCAGGACACTTCTGAGAGTAAAATGGGCTGCTAGGAAGAATTAAGCATGGATAATAAGTATAGATGGGGACTGTCCCATCCCAGGAAAACCCAGAAGTAGGATCCTCTCTGAGACCATTTTTGGTGGCAGGAACTGCCTTACCACTTTTGTTTGTTGTTTTGTTTTAGTTGTTCATGTATATATATGTGGGTGTGTATTTTTTTTTCTCCAGTGTGGTACTCAGGACTTCTCCAAAGAGCTAGTTTTCCCAATTGAAAAGACACAAAATCTCCCAAGCCTGGAATCCACAACCTCAAAGACCAGTGGTCCAAGGACCAGATGGTTCTCATCTGCTTCCTGAAGGAAAGCCCAAGGAAGAGCACCCAGTGGAGGGGCTGGGGACCCCCGTCTGTTCCCAGTTCTCACACACAGAAGACACAGCGCAGATTCAAGAATGCCCAGCTCTTCTGCAGACCATGCCAGGAGTCAAAGTCAGTCTGTGGGCATAGTCAAAGCAACACCCCCATCACCAGTCATTTTCTGGACATTCCTGGCCTGTCCACCCAGACCTCCAGAGGTCAGCAGCTTTAGGAATCTCGGGGTTCCCACAGGGCAAATCCGGAAGAGAGGTTTCTGTGATTTGATTTTTAGCACAGAAGGATCAGTAGTAAAGAAATCCAGTAGATTGTCACACATCCCCCAACTTCGTGAAACACCATGTTCCACACACACACATGCACACACACACACACACACACACACACACACACACACACACACACACACATTGTCCCCAGGTTCTTGGGTGTTCATGTAGAAACACACAAAAAAGCCCCCAGGTGCTGCCTGGAGCTTTAGGAACCCATTGCTCAGGGGGGAGTCCCGAACACTTCAGGGGAGCAGGAGGCGATCACCAGTCTCCACGCCGGACGCCACTCGGCCACTTTGGAGGAGGGCATGTCTTGCTCCGCTGCGGACTCCGGCGGTGAGTGGCACCGACAGTCATGGCGCGGCTGTTCTGAACCACAGGCAGCACCCTTCCCCTGCCTCCACCTCCTGGCCGTGGGCCTGTGGGTCACAAGGGCTTGTGAATCACAGCAACACCTATGATGAAAGGGAAAGAAAGTGAGCACCTCAGCTTCTTCAAAGGTATTCAGAGAACCAAGGGGTTCATGGGTCTGAGCCATCCTAAAGCCCCAGTCAAGGGGAAGGGGCATGTCTGTATCCAAGCCCCACAGGGCCTGAGGACTCAGGCGGCCCACAGTGGGCTCTTTCCCACTCTTACAGCCAAGGCCTGGCAAGACACCTGAACCCGCACACACAGGCCTTCAGCACCACAGCTAGTGGGCTCCCCTAGCATCATCACATGAACATGGTTGCTATCTCAAGGAGTTCTTTTCCAAGACCAGAACTCAACCTCATGACACTCCGCACTGTCACAGGGGGCCCAGAGGCAGTTCCTTGGCTCTACCTCTCCATCACTGTAAGACAAGTGACAAGGATTCATGCCTACTTTTACAAGATACTGAAATGAACTAGAAAGAACAGTGAACTGACTTCAAGCAAGTAAGAAACACTGCATGCCGGTCCTAGCTTGGCCACCAGTCCAGCAGCAGGGAGGCCTTAGGCAAGACCACTGACCTCTTGAGGCTCAGCTCCCATGCTGTGTGATGTCACCTGATGGAAAGACCCTTCCCGTGCTAAACACTGTGCTCAGAACAACAGTCCAGACAATGTCTGTCTCCAAAATGACTTTAGCCAAAGTGAACTATACTCCATGGCTAACTTATGAATTCACAGATGATCCTAGAATGCCTCCGTGGCAAATACCATAGGTGGATTCAGCCAACCTCCCCTCTACTTGCTGTTCACGACGGCAGAGACAGCATATGACTGACTCAGCTTCCCAGACTGCCTGACAGCTGGCAGGGCCACGTGCCCCAGGCCTGGCCAAGACCATTGCAAACACACGTTTGCCCAGGCTGCAGCTTTGGCTCTGTCCGGTGCCCCACCCGAAAGGTGGCTTACACACAGCCCATGGTGGTGGTGGCTACTGGTAAAGCCAGCAAAACAGAAAAGGGAGAACAAGCCTGGTTTTTCAACGACAGCCCGAGCCCTAGGCCAGCCCTGGACTTCTGGTCTTCCTTCTGCCTGAGATAGGTACACTCCCTCCTTGCTTAAGCAAGTACATGTCTGCTCTTCTGGTACCTTCAATCAAACAAAATCCTAATTTACAGGTAAGGTCTGTTGGTCCGGTGTAACTGACAGTTACTTTAACGAGGTCCCATGACTATAAAATCTTCTGGCTACAGAGGAGATTGAGAGAACACTCCTGAGAGAAATGCCAGGATACCCCAGGAGTGAGATTCTAAGACACCCACTGCATGTGAATTCGGGATAAAGGTGCAGATAGAAAAGCTCAGAGGTGGGCAGCACTGCAGTCCGCAGACCCAGATGTGTTGCCTGACCTTGACAACATCTCCCTGCACCTCAGAATTCTTTCGTAAGGTAGCACTAAAAAAAAAAAAAAAAAAAAAGAAAGAAAGAAAAGATAAGAAAAGCCAGGTCCTGTATTGTTTTTTTTTTATATTAACCTCCTCTTCAGAGGTACCTTAGTAGCTCAGTCAGTTAAGCGTGTGCCTTCAGCTCAGGTCATGATCCCCACATCAGGCTCCTTGCTCGGCAGGAGCCTGCTTCTCCCTCTCCCTCTGCCTGCCACTCTCCCTGCCTGTGCTCTCTCTCTCTCTCTCTCTCTCAAAAAAATATATAAAACCTAGAAAATTTAAAAATTTTAAAAATAAACCTCCTCTTTTGATTATAGAAGTAAAATATTTTTGATGCACCTGGGTGGCTCAGTCAGTTAAGCGTCCAACTCCTCATTTCGGCTAAGGTCATGATCTCAGGATCCTGGGATCAAGGCACAGGTTGGGCTCCGCCCTCAGTGGGGATCCTGCTTGAAATTCTCTCTCTCTCCCTCTGTTTGTGCCCCTCCCCCCAACTCACACACACTGTCTCTCTCAAAATAAATAAAATCTTTCAAAAAAAAAGAAAATATTCTCATTTCAGGAAATTTGGAAAACACAGAAACAAACAAGGAAAGAAAGTTTTTTAAAACCCTACATACAAAGAGCATCACCATTGTCTTCTTGGACTATTTCCTGGCTTTTAAAAATAACCGTGATCATCTACATGCCAGGGAGACACTGTGCTAAGCGTTCCACTCTTACTGCACAACAACTGTGAGGAACCTGCTATGATTTCATTCTCATTTTACAAATGAGAAAACAAGAAGTTCAGTCAGACCGATCACTCTGCCCAGAGCCCCAGTCCAAGGCACAGAACTGGAATCCATGAGATCCGACTCCGATGTCCCCTTCTTTAAGCAGTTGCTACTCAAACGTCTGGGATGCAGGACTGCGTGACTGAGCTTGCAGGGCACATCCCTTGGGCGTCCTCCCTTTTAAACCCTCAGACTGTCATGAACATGTTCTCGTGACATTAGAAACACTTGCAGTGGGGCGCCTGGGTGGCTCAGTGGGTTAAAGCCTCTGCCTTCAGCTCAGGTCATGATCCCAGGGTCCTGGGATCGAGCCCCACATCGGGCTCTCTGCTCTGCAGGGAGCCTGCTTCCTCCCCTCTCTCTCTCTCTGCCTGCCTCTCTGCCTACCTGTGATTTCTCTCTCTCTCAAATAGATAAAATCTTTAAAAAAATTAAAAAAAAAAAACACTTGCAGTGTACAAATATTTCACAGTTTAACTACTTCTCTGATGTCACACATTAAGTAGTTCTCAGTTCTTTGCTATCATAAATAATACTCCAAATCCATCTATCTCTGCATTGCAGGCAATTTCTTGAGATTCTTAAAAAAAAAAAAGAAGGATACACTCAGTCAATGGAGTTGAAGACAAATTGCGCGTTTGCTTGTCTGTTTCGCAGTTACTTCTAGAGCAGACAGACAATGAAGAGGTAGACATGAAATATTCAGCACATATGTGAAATTCTAACCACATACACCTAAATCTTCCCCTCTCCTTAAGATCCACTAGGAGCCAAGGGAGGACCCCTCACTGGCCTCACTGTCTCGTACTCAAAGCTGTCTATACTCGTGCTCTTCCCACAACCGTATTGAAAAGAAAATGAAAGTTCTCATTTTAATAATTAATCGTGAGAAAAGAATCACTCAAAGACCAACATGCCTCTAAAAACTTTTCTATTTGGTTGAGAAAAATCCTAAACAAGGAAAAAGAAGTAAAATCAGTTTACTGCAACTGACGGCCTGTGTTGACAATCTAGGATATGAGCCCCTTCAAGCCTGCACAGCCCCCTTCAAGCCTGAAATCCAAACAAGACTGATTGACCTTCTACCGCAAAAAGGGAATCAGAACACCATGGGAGTTGTGATGCACACTGAAGGAGATCACGGGTGTCAAATACTTCATGCCTGGGATGTTGTTATGTGCTCTGTAAATCACTGTTAGCTCTAAATATTCCTGTTTCTGGAAGACAAGGTACAGGTTGCTGAGCTACATCATGGGTATGGGAGACTGCTTGTCTCCCTACAGACCCCTGTCGTCAGCAGCTCCGACCTCCCAGACCTCACCGAGCCCATCACACACGCTTGCCAAGAATAAGCCTCCACAGCAGTGTGGTGCTTACTGCTGCCTCCACCTCTTGCCTGGAGTGCTTTCTCCCCCTCCGCTGGGGTAGTACAGAGGGTATGGGCTCAGTAGTCAGACCTGAGTCTGAATTCTGACTTTGCCATTTTTAGCCATGTGGTCTTGGGCAGGTGACTTAGACTCCCCAAACCTCAATTTCATCATATGTAAAATGGAAGGCTACAGTCCCATTCACCCAGGGTGTTCTTGAAAGGATGACAGTGAATGGGTACGGTGTGCCTAACACACCACCTTCTGGCACAGGGAGGGAGCCCCTGGCAAAGGGCAGCTCCCACCTTCAGAGGTGATCCAATCTTGTTTCCTCCGGGAAGTTTTCACCTGTCATGTCTTAAAATACAGACCGCGTAGCACATTCTATTGAGAAGTCATGGGTACACTGCCTTGCATGTGCTACTTCATGTAGACAGATCTTATCTTTCCAATTAAATTTCTACAAGGCAAGAACTGTATCTTATTCTGTGTAGGAGCCAGAAATGGCAATGAAATTCTAAACCCATCATCTTAGGACGAATCAGAGCAGTTGGAAGTGGCCCCTGCAAACACGGGTGTTAAAAAGAATTCTGGGCCTACATTCCGGTTCGCTGGGGAGACCCAGGCTCAGCAGGGGTATCTGTTGTGGGCACAGAATGACAGAGCGGTGGCATGGGACAATTATCTACTATCGAATGCAGGAGGCACGAAGTCCCAAGTTAAGCAAACTCAGCTCCATGGGTGCAGGGGTCGGGCGGGGGTGAAGGTGGAACTGGGGGCAGCACACTGACCTGCGTAGCTCCGCCCCGTACTCATGTTGGTGGGCAGCAGCGTCCATTTGTCAGTGATGGGATTGTAGTATTCCACCGAAGCCAGGTTGCAGGATCCGTCATCCCCTCCAACCACATACAGGAGCCCGTTCACTGCGCAGACTCCTGGGAAACAGAGGCCATAGGAGACATCATAGCAGGAGCCACGAGGGGATCAGAATGGATGGGAAATAAGCATGGAGATCCCAGGAGGCACTCCTCCTCCCCTTCAAGGTGACCCCATGAACCGGCTCATAGGTCTGATTTTGCTCAATGGGAGACCATGTCAACAATAACTACTGGGCCCTGAGGAGCCCCCATTTCTAAGAAGGTCTCTTCTCTGACCAGGGAGCTCTCACTGCTACATGCTCCCAGGGACATTCCTGGCCCCTGACCCTATAAATACGTAACTCTTTATGGGTACAGGCCCCTCTCTACTGGAGCATGTGGACTTCCCACACGCAGACTGAGCTATGCTCAGGCAATCTCACACACACTACTCCTGCTCTGCTTGTAGGTTTGCTCTGGTAAACACTGGGATAGCTATCCTTTTGTGCCTAGTGGTTGTATCTGGGATGCCTCCACATGACTTAGATCTAAACCCACACACAGCCCCCAGGGACAAGGCATTCCTCCCACCCTGATCTCACAGAGAGCTGGTATGAGGGCAAAGTCTCATGCTGCAGGGGCCAAGAGTAGGAAAACATTATTTTGCTCATCAAGAGTTTACAAGGCTTTGATCTAATACGCTGTGTCTTCTTTCAAAATCACATGAGGGGATTGATGATATTCAAGAAGCAGTAATTGTCAGTACTGATGAAGATTATCTCAGATCCTGATGAGAGGATAAAATGTACTGCTTCCTGGATAGTACTGGAAGCAAAGATGCTCCCTCTGGCTTAAGAATTTCACTCCTGGACTTAAATTCTAAAGAAATAATTTGAGATGTATGCACTGATCAGCCATAAGGCCATTTATAACAACAAAAGCATTATTGGTAGAAAAATGGAAATAATCTAAAAGCCCAATAGTAGATGAGTTATTTAAATTGTGATACAGCCATTTAAAATATCATGAAAGTCTATCTCGCATTATAAAAAGACAGTTGTGAAAGATTGTGAAGTGGATTAGAAAAGCAGGTTGTAGAACATCACTGAGTAGGATTCCACTTTTGCTATAAAAAACAGAAATATCTCTATGTGAACATATACATATATATTCATTTACATCAAAACTTAATTCTTGGATTTTTGATACACTAGCTGTCTTGGGCATTCTGTAATCCCTCGCTCACGGGGCTTAAGGCCAAATGCCAAGTTTTATCATAGCAGGCTCAGGCAGTGGGCAAATTAATAAACTCCCTTCTGTTTACACTTTCAACATATGACCTACAAATGAGTTTAGCAAACAGGTAATTTGAGTATAAAGGAAAAAAATCTGCCTGAAAGTCACCTGTTTGCCTTTCCAGTCTGGGAAGCTAAACTAAGCCAACACTTTCCTAGAGTAAAGAGGCATAAAATAAGATATACCAACATAGGACATGATCCACAAGATAAAGCTGTTAAAGCAAAGAGTTTAATAGGGAGGTCAGGCTCCCAGAACAAAAATCTAAACACTCTAAGATAGATCATTCCCACAGGAAGGCAAACAGGGAGGAGACAGAGAGGCAGGAGGTACAGAGCAAGGAATATGGGAAGTGCTCCCACTGGACAATGAATCAGGGCCCTGGCAACCCGTAGGAAGAAGGAGATGGGTTTCAGGTGGGAAGTGAGAGGTTCTCAGAGCCAGGTACAGGCAAAAAACATAGAACCAAGTGTCACTGACTGGTCATGCCCACACAGCCCCGTGCCTAGCTACCCAACAGAGCCAGTGGGCCAGGGGCTTTGATGGAGTCTGTGTCCTAGAGTGTACAATGAAAGTCATCAGCCCCTTGCATCTAAGCAGGCAGACCCTGTGGCTAGCGGTTGTATTCCCCAGTTCTCCCCTCTGCTAGCCCAGTACCGATCTGACGAATGGATACTCCTGTTTGAGGTACAAGCTTGGGCCAGGTTCTGTCCCTCCGCCTGTGTCTAACAGCTACTGTTTACACCCACACCCCCAAGGGCAGAAGGAGAGAGCAGTCTCATTACCTGCATTACGCCGGCACATATTCATATCTGCCACCTGCTTCCAGGTGTTTGTTCCAGGATCATAAACTTCAACGCTCTTCCTCACCAGGGGCCCGTCATGTCCGCCTGTGGCATACAGCTGGCCACTGAGCACCCCGACCCCTGAAAAGCAGAGCACAGCGTCCCAGCCTCCGGCTGGCAACCACAACCGGAAACCAGGAGGCCTGGCGTCTGGTCCTGGGCAGCTATCATCAGCAGGGTGGCCTGGGGGAGTGCTGCTTTGTTCCCCCAGACCTCAGTGCCCTCATCTGTAAAACACACAGAATGACGCCCTGCCTGCCTAAGCCTGTCAACCTGAGAATCCCCAACAGATAAAGCAAAAATCACTCCGTGGCTAATTTTAAGAAATGTAAATATACATACATACGTAACATATGTGTGTGTATGTATGTGGTATAAAATGGGGAGGGGAGAGTTCATATGCAAAGAAAAATAGAAAAAAGGCAAAAAAGACTGAAAGACACCCTCCAAAACTTCAGGAGTAGTTATTTCCAGAGGGTCAAAGTTGGCCTCCCTTTGGGCTATCTGTGTGGCCACATTTTCCTACAACGCTGTTTCACTCGGATTCCGCAGCCTTCTATTAGACTGGTTGCGGAGAGAGACTGCAACGCGGAAACGAGCTGCTCAGCAGCTGCGGTGATGTCATTACCACGCAGACTGCCCTGCCAGGAAGCAGGACCCGTTCTTTCTGCCACGTGCTCTCCTCTGAGCTTGCAGAGAGGAGAGCAGCATTCCACACGCCCCATGCTGAGAAGCCAGAGCTGACTCCCAGAGTGGCATCACGGACAGGCTTTAGAAAAACCATTTAAGGAGCACCTGGGTGGCTCAGTTGTTGGGCACCTACCTTAGGCTTGGGTCATGATCCTGGGGTCCTGGGATTGAGCCCTGCATTGGGATCCCTGCTCTGCGGGAAGCCTGCTTCTCCCTCTCCCACTCCCCCTGCCTGTGTTCCTGCTCTCACTATCTCTCTCTGTCAAATAAATAAATAAAATCTTAAAAAAAAAAAAAAAAAGACAAAAAAAGAACAACCTTCTAAAATCCTTCCATGCAAGTCATGGGAATAAAAACCAGCAGGCAGGAGGGTGGCACAGGATCCCCAAAAGAGCAACTGACCTGGAGGCCAGGACTCGTGGGGTCTGGACCGGAGTCTCTAACTTGCCCTTTCTGGGCCTCAGTTCTCCCACCTGCAAAGCGAGGAAGCTGGACTTCCTCGGGAAGCTTCCACTGGGGAGCTCCATGGGCCCTCAGACCACCCCACCCCACAACAGGCTGCATCTCGATCGGGTGGGGAGATGTTGAAAAGAGCGATTCCGGGGCCTCCCTCCTGGAGACCCTGGCTGGGAATCAGAACAAGGACACCGGATGACTGGGATGTGCAGCCAAGCGTGAGACCCGAGCCCTCGATTTCTAGGATGTAAGCTTCCCAGGGACAAGGACCCTATCTGTCTTACCACATCTGTTTCCCTGTGCCTGGGGGTACTGAGTTTATTGTTTGAATGACCCAATACGTAAAATCCCACCTAGCAATGACGCGGCTGTGCTAGCAGTTCCTCACAGTTGCCCAAAACTAACAGCAGATGGTGGTGTTGTATCAACAACGGCTAGCTAACAGACCCACCCCCCCCACCACCACACCCGGGTCTCTAACAGACCCGGGTTTAAGACCGTTCAGTGTGCTCCAAAGCAGCCTCATCTGCCCCTCTTCTGTGCTCAGCGGGACCTAGCTCAGCATGGCTCCCAAAGATGAACTCTTTACCCCCCAACCATCTGCTAGCACGGCTCATGCTCTACTGAAGAAGCAAGCAGCGTTCCAGGCCCTGGGGGCCCCTCCTGCCCTTCTGTAGCCTCTTGCACAAATGTTCACACAGAGGTCTCCCAGACCCCGAGCTACAGCAGCTCCAGGCCCTTCAAAGGCCCAGAGGCAGCCAGAGGCCTCAGTCTCTGAGTCTTCGGCCACCAAAGAACACCCACCATCACAAGTATGTGGGTTCTCCACTCCAGAGGTGCAGCTTTCCCAAATCTTTAGGGACACAAAGCACAAAATGAAAGCTGATTCGGGAGCCTGATGCCAGGGTTCTGACAGTAAGGGGAATAGAGTCCACCTCGGAGAAAGAGCATCCCCTAAAACTGAGTTCACCCAGGGACACAGGCAGGAGAGATGCCACTGTCGAGGGCCGCTAGCCCAGGTAAAAGTTCAGGGCAGCTCAAGAAAGTTCCACACAGCAATAAACCCTGGGCAGCCTGGAGAGACAGAGAGGTCCGCCTCCAGAAGCAGATCTAAGGCAGATGAGGGAGGTCGGGGGCTCCACATGGGGCTGCCCCTCCACGCTTTCTCCTTGAGATGTTCCTAGAAGCAGCCCCCTATCTTAGGGCTGCCCTACTCCTCCTGAGCTGTCCCTACATCCTTGAGCTTTGAACTTGATCTCACACTTAAAGTCACAGAAGATTCCTAGGAGGTACCAAGACAACTCTACCAAGCCTCTATACACCACAATTACCAAAAGAGCTCTATGAAGGGAGGGGAGACATGAGATATGTGAATTGTACTGGCCCCTAAGGAATGTCTACTCCAACCCACTCATTTCACATCTGAGGAAATGGAGGCCAGAAAGGGGGAAGGGACATGCCCAAGGTCACAAGGCAAGTTTGAGCAGACTCAGCACTGAAGCACAGGTGTCCTGACTTTCAGGCATTTGCTTCACGTTCTGCTCAGGAAGGGCCAACTGGTCAGAATCAGCAGAAACAAGCCCACTAAAAAATAGCATTCCAAACACAAATGCTTCTTAAATGGAACCATACACCTTTTTTTTTTCTCTAACCAGTAAGCACACAAAGATTTTTGAATATTAAAACGGCATAATTTCTAAGGACTGCTGAGGAAGTGGTCACATGTTTGGTACTATAAAGTGAGATCACAACTTGATCTTCAAAAATACAAAAGAGAAAAAAGTATATAAAAAAGAAAGGCCTTGGGGTGCCTGGGTTGCTCAGTGGGTTAAGCCTCTGCCTTCAGCTCAGGTCATGATCTCAGGGTCCTGGGATTGAGCCCTGCATCTGGCTCTCTGCTCAGTGGCGAGCCTGCTTCCCCCTCCCCCTCTGCCTTTCTCTCTGCCTACTTGTGATCTCTGTCAAACAAATAAATAAAATCTTTAAAAAAAAAAAAAAAAGAAAGAAAAGAGGGGTACCTGGGTGGCTCAGTGGGTTAAAACCTCTGCCTTCGGCTCAGGTCATGATCCCAGGGTCCTGGGATTGAGCCCCGCATATGGCTCTCTGCTCAGTGGCGAGCCTGCTTCCCCCTCTCTCTCTCCCTGCCTGCTTCTCTGCCTGCTTGTGATCTCTGTCTGTCATATAAATAAATAAAATCTTAAAAAAAAAAAAAAAAGAAAGAAAGAAAAGAAAAAGAAAGGCCTTGAAGGCATTATACTCAGTGAAGTAAGTCCGACAAAGAAAATATATGATCTTCATTTATGAGTGGTTTCAAAAAAACAAACAACAAAGCTCACAGTCTAGAGAACAGACTGGGAAGGGAACGTAAGATAAGGTAGACTGTGCACCTGCTGGGGCCCAGACCCGCGTGAGAGCGGGCCAGACAAAGCCCGTGCCCTGACCCTCCCCAGCCCACCCCTCCATACCTGCACCACTGCGGCGCGTGCTCATGTCTGCCACATACGTCCACTCATTGGTTGCCGGGTTGTACTGCTCCACGGTACTCAGGCACTGGCGGGAAGCCCCATCGTAACCCCCGACAGCATACAGCTTTCCTGGAACAGAGGCAGTGGCTGAAACTCCATCTTTAACCCACGGGGGCCCCTCTACCTCCATCAGAGTCCAGGGCCCCTTTCCTCCGGATGGACCACAAACCAGACTAAGCCTGCTTCACATCTCTGCCTTTTACTTCCTTGTGAGCTGTGAGGCTCCCTGAAGCAGTGCTGAGCATCTTTCTAAATACGCACCCTAAATAACCCCTGCAAAGCTATGGCCTGGCTCCAAAATGACTTGGCCTACTCTTGCTAGCACGATACATGAGTTACATTACTTCTCCAGAGTAAGGGGACAAAGACACAGAAAGCTTGAGGGCCCCAGCTCCAGGCAGGCAGCTTGACTTTCTGGCTGAAGGCTCACAAAAACAGACAAAACAAAGATGGGAAAATATTCTTCAGTGAGAACTCAAAGCCTGTCTTCACCATCAGTTGTGTGCTCTGTCCACAATGCCGCAAATGGACCATGTGGGTGGACTGCTCTGTGTGCACTCTGGGCTGGGATGGCTGGAATTCATCTACTTCCTCCCTTGTGATCTTGGAGCCATGCACAAGATCCCTGAAGCACCACTACCCACTTTTAAAATAAACATATCATAAGCTGCTACCCAAAATCATCATTTCTGCCTGGGGCTGGGCGTGAGGCTGGACAAGGGGCAGGAAATTGGCATTAGAGTTCTCCCAGAGCAGAGATTGAAATATGGTAGGTCTCCTATCTCTCCATCCCTCTCTCTCCCTCTCCATGTGTTGGGGTGGGGGCAGGGGAAGTCCTACCACACCTGTGGGCACAGACTGATGGGGAATGAGAGAGTGATGACAAAGATCTTAAACTTTAGCTGTAGACTAAATAACCACCACCCAATGCAAATGCACTTAATAGTTACTAATTAAAAGAGGGTTTTTTGGTCACTATGTGCTTTACTAAGGGAGAGATAACAAAAGTACAACTATTATTTGGAAGTCTGCAATTCTTTTAAGTTAGAAAGAGGCTCAAGACTGTGCTGTACATCACAACTATTTCTGTATCATAGGTAAAATTATTTCTTCCTCTATCATTGAAGCTCGTTTTGTTTTCTGCCCCTTTCCAGTGGACCTTCTAAAAGAAAGGGATACCTCCTCCCCAGTTCTGCCCTCACCTGAGCCAGAAGAAAAATGCCTGATCCAGAAGCTCTCCCAGGGTCCAGGCTGTTTCTGCGACATGTGCAGACCAGGACACAACCACGGCCCACTCAGCTGCCCACCACTCACCAAAGCCCAAGTCACTCGGGGCCAGGGGGAGGAAGGCCTGGGGTATAGAGGAGACGAGAAGCTCCCAAGGACAACCCCAGAGTCACTGAGACCGGGCAGCCACGGCAGGAGACAGGGAGAGGGAGGAGAGTACTGTGACAACATGGAGAGCTGTATCTACAAGGCCACAGGCAAGCAGGGGCCCCATGAAACCCTCCTCATCAGAGCTGTGAGGACGACCCTCTGCTGCCCCAGGTAAACCATTGCTAAAGAGCTTCAAAGTCAGGGTGGACAAAATCAACACGTTGCCAGGCTGCCCTCTGTGTCAACAGACACACAACAAAACAGTACTCCCTCCACATAAACAACGTGCTCTGAGGAGCCCTTGTCAAGGGGAGTATTTCAAAGCACCCATCATGGAAGCAACTTCTCAAACCCCCACCAACCACCTCAACCTTGCGTCAGCTGAAAAAATACCCACTCAAAGTTTCTCCTTGAGTCTATTAACAGGGACTTGCTATTTTTAACCCCTACTCTATTGTTTGATATTCCTGGCTAAGGAACAAGGGGGGAAATGGGAAGGTGGCTAGACAAAGCACTTACATTTGGCAGACAAATCAATTTCTGTTCCACCAGGAGGATGGATGAGATTGCAAAAAAACAATTTATCTTGAGAGGAGGACAAAATCCTTGTGCTCCCCAAGATGACTTATTTAGTATGTTAGCGAGGTGTACTTTTGAGTGGAAACTTATGTAATACTGGTACAAACCAAGATACGCAGTTAGAGAAAAGAATATTTCTGCTAATGTCTAATCACTGCACATTATGCACTCCCCAAAGCAAGTACGTGTGCTCCTGGGGGCAAACGTGAGAGAGAGAGGGAGACAGAGAGAGAGAGAGAGAACGTCTGCATACAAGTCTAAATGCACAGATATTCCAGCTAAATTCCCTCTTTCAGGACAAGCTAAAGAATCAGTGTTGTCCTACAAAGGATAACATTTTAGTCCAAATCATGCTCTATGCTTGAATACACTAAATTCACATGTATTTGTAAAACTCCCTATTAGCATTGGCTAATGGTCTGAAAGAGTGTAGCATAATGGAAAAAGCATTGAGTTGGGAGTCAGAAGACCAGGGCTCAAGGACTGGCTGTGCTCTCCACTAATGGGCCCATCACGTGCCCCGCTCTAACACTCCATTGCCCTATGTGGAGAATGGAGAACATCTAAGCTCCGCCTACCTCCTTCAAAAGGATGTGGGGAACAAAATGTGCATATAAAAGAGCGCACTATAGACTACAGAGCCCTAACTGTACCCCAGACCTCAACCCTCCCACCCACCCCACCCACACAATCTTCCTGATGATAGCAGGACTCCACCACCCACCTGACCTGCAGTGACAGTAATCAGACCTGGGAAGAAATGCCCACCCCACTCAAAGCTCTGTTAATGTGTTAATGGCCAACAAAGGCAGAGGAGGACAAAATTAAACAAAATGAACTCTTACCCCCACCCCAGTATACTCCTAGGTTATATGCTGAATCTAGATTCCTCAACCTATGACAGAACCGTTGACAAGTGGCCAAAGGGACAGCCCTGCATTGTCCCTTAGGCTCCTCTTACTCTTCCCAGCACAGCTGGCCACCTGCCAGCCATGAGCCCATAACTGCAGCTCTCTGCACCTCAACCTTCGCCACCTGTTCCATCAAGATGGTAGTACCTGCCTCAGAGCTCTGATGGGAGGAGCAGAGCCAGGGCACCGGGACCTGACCCAGGGTCTAGGGCATGGATGGGCCACCACCCTCTGCCATTCCTTACCCTCCACGACGCCCACACCCACGCTGCTCCGCCGCGTGTTCATTGGGGCCACGAAGAACCACTCATTGGTCTTGTAACTGTAGGCTTCCACAGACGCTAAGCCTGGGAGACAAGAGACTCATGAGATTTTTACAGTGTGAGGTATCACCCAGTGTGCCAAAGTGAGGCTGGGGAAAGGGTGAGAAACCCACGTGTGTGGCTGAGCACCACGTCTCCCTCGCTGTGCGGGCTGGGGCACCTCCCTGCAGCACATCTACAGTGAGTCTACCTGAGATATCCACTGAGGTCTGACTCAGGGCGGGTCAAGAGAGGACAGAGGAGTATAACACGACAGCCCTGTGAATGTAAACTGTTACACCTACAGAACAGAGGGAAAATCTGAGCTTGCCTCACTGAACACCTTCTTTTGCCCTCTCTTCCTCTACTTAGAAGCTAAAAAGCTCAACACTTACCTTCCCAGAACCCCTAAAGGGATGACCCAGTCAATGAGGCCCAAGTAGAAGTCTCATGGGCATTTCTGAAATAGTCATCGTTTTTCTGATACAGGTGCCAACACCAACGTGCTTTCTGCTACCCAGAATACAAACGTAGCTGGATGGAGCTGTAACGGACACCTTCTGATCTGGAGGGTACAGACAAGGGACGCTCAAAGAGCTTGGCCCCAATATTCTTGAGCAAGCGGATGAAGTGAATAACTGCCAACTTCCCGACTCCCTCTCCCGTGGGTAAAACAGTATCTCTCAATTGTTTCAGCCACAGTTTAGTGAGGTTTCCTACTTGCGGCTGAGAGCAATTTCCAAAAGAAACAATTCACTCCCTTTTTTTCTCTTTATTACTCAGGTCCTACCCAAAAGAGGCAGCCCCTGGAGGGGCTGCATACCCTGGAATTTTATGAGTGAGGCAAAGAGAAGACTGGGAAAGACTTTACCAAGTGTTAAAGACACAAATGAAAATCACAGAAGTCAAAATATATTGTTTTGGGGGCACCTGGGTGGCTCAGTGGGTTAAAGCCTCTGCCTTCAGCTCAGGTCATGACCTCAGGGTCCTATTATCGAGCCCCGCATCAGGCTCTCTGCTTGGCAGGGAGCCTGCTTCCCCCTCTCTCTCTGCCTGCCTCTCTGCCTACTTGTGATCTCTGTCAAATAAATAAAATCTTTAAAACAAACAAAAAAAATTGTTTTCCACATCCCTGGGGGGGATTTCAGTGTAACAGAGTTAGTGTCCACAGACACTTTCACCTGGAGGTATAGGAGAGATGAGATAATCTCTCCAAGTCCATGTCTATTTGTAGTTTCTGATTTGAACTCTAAAGTGACCTAGAAGCCAGGAGCAAGGGGACTTTTCTGTGGTGGCACAATCAGGCAAAGCTTTGTGGGGCAGTAAAAGGGCGATGGACAAAGATGGAAGGGCCTGAGCCAGGTCTCTCCCATGGCTGAACCCCAGCTTCCCTGTGCATCCAGCAGAGGCTTCCTTAGATGCCCTGAAGCTGAATATGTTCTCTTTCTAAGTCTTGTCTTGAAAAAATGGGTTCCCAAACAATAGAGAGGAGAAAAGACCTCTTCTGAGTGCAGGATCCTTCCCAGAGTCCTAGAAATGATAGCATGTGGGCAGTTATGTATTCTGTGTGTAGGAAGGCCTGGCTCTGGCAAGCAAGGTAGATGAGGTAGAAGGAGTATGCTACTAAGGAAGGAGCTATGGATGGACAGAAGGTTGGCCCAAGAACTGGCTGAGCAAACCAGGGTTGCACTGAGGGCTTGTCCCAGGCTGGGAGGAGTGGGGGCCACATCCCAGACCTACCAGTACTGCCATCAAAGCCCCCCACGGCGTAGAGCAGGTCATTGAGCACGGCCGCACCCAGAGTGCTCCGGCGCTCCTGCATGCTGGCGATGGACGTCCACTGATCCTTCACGCCATCATACACATCTACTGTCCGCACGCGCAGCGAGCCATTAAACCCGCCCACAGCATACACGTGACCAGCCATGAACACCACACCTGAGGCACAGGAAACCAAGAAAACGAGTTCATCTTAAGTGGCCGATCGCTCATGCAGTGACAATGAGTGACAATGGGGGAGCCAGACGGTCCCATGAATAAGTCACCACAGACAGTGGTCTCTAACTTCACAGAACCGGAAGTCATCATGGGGCTCACTGGATTTCTATTCATATACGTTTTTCCAATGTTGTGTGATTCAAGCAAATACTTGACCTGGCATGAAGTCCCTACACATGTAAGAACCGACCCCAGAAGGGGCAGCCAGAAATTGGGCAAGTGGAGAAGGAAAAGGAAGAGAGTCTGTAATGCACAGATGTTTGTGGAAACAAGAAGCAAGGGAGGATTTCCGGCAGTAAGCAGAGACAAGCTGGGGAAAGGCAGGCTGCAAGATGACAGATGGTGCCGCTCACCTGCTCTGCATCTCCTGGAGGGAAGCTCAGCAATCTGGTCCCACCGGTCCTCTTCAAAGTCGTAGCATTCCACGCTGCGGATCGCCTTGGGGGCCTGGCCACCAACCACAATCATGACCTCCAGAAAGACAAACAGACATTAGCTGGGTCTCCCCAGCTAATGGATATTTGTGTGATCAATCCCTGGTCCTTGCACATGCCAACTGCCTGGGGTCCACGAGGGACCTGACATGCCACCTTACAGAGTTACATACATGGAGATGCTACCCCCAAATCACCAATGAACAGGACGATTCAAGAAAGTCGGCAAGGACATCTTGCCACAGAAACACCATCATGATGTCTACACTTCCTACATACCTATGCTCTGGGCTATGCTGGTGGTATGTGTAGATACTCAGGGCATGATCTACAATCTTGCTGACCTCAAGGATTTGGGCTAAGGGGATGAAATTTTGTATCAAAACAAAATATTCCAAATATATATCAAAACTTGAATCTATTTTGGAATACAATACAGAATTTGGTTATGTTTTTAAGAGAAAATTACTTCAGAAGTATTTCTGAATACACAGACTACAGGGAGCACTTATTCGTTAAAGTTTGGGGCAAAACTGTGAAAAACAGCTTTGGAGAACTGACCCCAAAAATGTATGTAACTGATGATTTTCTGAAAAATAGTGCTAGCAATACCGCTCCCACAAGTATGACAGTAACTAACACTGCCGGTCACGGTGTGAGGTATTATCACTTACGTGTCACCATAACCCTGTGAGGGAGAGATTATCCAAACTGACAGACGAAATTAAAGCTCGGAGAACACAAGTAAATTGCCCAAGGTTACACAGCAGAGAGCGGCAGAACAGAGACCAAAAACCAAGTCTACCTGATTTGGAGGTGAAGACAGCCCCATCCGTCTCCTGCTCTAGAGACAGGGTCCCCACAAAGACAGCTCACTATACCCATGTTTTTCAAACTGCAGGTCACATTTCATGAGTGGGTCATGAAATGAATTTTATGCCTTGCAACCAACAAACTTTTCATAGAGTAGCACAGGAAGTACAGTAAGGGTGTTACTTCATGAAACATTTGTTGGGGTTATACACACATGTAGGTGTCTCCTGGATAACAATTTAAACATAATTCTTATTGTAGGGTATTGTCAGAAAAAGAAAGAAAAGAAAGAATGAAAACCACTGCTGCACCTCTATAAAAGAACGATAGCATTTAACTGTGGTATCTCTGTTGCTGTGACTTTTGTCTCACGTTATTCATCAATAAATAATAAAGTAGCCAAGTTAACAACAGTGTACACATTTTAATAAACTTGTGCAAATTCACGGTTGTCCCCATAAGGACGTCATGCTCACTGGCATTCCAAGATGCCTTCTTATGTGACAAGAAAGGAGTGGAAATCACCGGCAGCCCATCAGTAGGAGTCTAAGGACATGCTCATTACCTGTACCTTGTATTATTTACTCCAATGGTTCTCAGGCTTCAGTGTGCATCAGAATCACCTCGCAGGTGGTAAAGACACAAATTACCAGACCCCTGCCAGAGATGCTGATTCAGCAGGTCTGGAGTGGAACAGAGAATGGGCATCCCTAACAAGTTCCTGGTTGAGGCTGATGCTGCTGTTCCAAGAGTCATACTTTGGTAACTACTGATTTCACCCTTGGACTGCAGGGATTTGCTGATGTTCCATTAATAATTTCTGCCATTATGAATGACCATGGTACTTTCACTTCTCCACAACAAATGTTTGGGGAGAGCAATATCTATGTGAGTTCACAGGAGTACATGCCTCGGGTGACCAGCATCTACCCCAGGAGGCAGAACCAGGGCCAACAACTACTGCTCATCCACCATTTATGCCCCAAGATTCAAGAACCAGGCTCACCCACTGCCCATATGAGTGGTCACAGCCATCTGTGGTCAAATGTGGGTATCCAATGTTAAAAAACTCAGAAGTCAGTTCTGACTTCTGGAACATTCCAAAGGATCCCAGGACAAGCAGTCCAAGCTTAGAGCTACTGAGACTGTTTCTGGAAATAAACATTCCATTTGGCTCCCCGTGACAGAGCTCAGAGGGTCTGCTGTCCTGTGCCAGGAGTGGCCTTTTCAGAGAAAAGCTGAATTCGACACTACTTCCTTTCTTAGACAAGCATCCATGAACAGTTTGAGGGGGATGTTAATAGACACAGCCCCTTGGCAAACTCACACAATGCCCACCTTACTCCTCTGGGGCCCAGGGACTTGCCGCACATTCTTAAACATGCCTCAAATGTGCACTGTCCTGGTTTTGAGTTGGTAAGGCTAAAATGAAGGCACAATACTGTGACGATTTTCTATGTATCTGGTTTTGGGGACTCAGTAAGAACAAAACCAGGTTCTAGTTTTTTCTGAAATGACCTCAGGCACTCCACAGCCTCTGTCCCCTCTCCATGAAATATCCTTCCCCCAGTCTGGATCCCTCTGTTCTAACACATGCTTGTCTTTCAGGTCTTAGTTGACCAAGTATCACCTCCTCCAAGAGGACCTCTCTGCTCTCACATCTGAGTTACTGTCCCTTCTCTGAGATCACACATACCCTGGGTTCTCTCATTAAAACTGCTCCACACTGTGTTGTAACTGCCTGGCTACCTTGTCTCTCTGGCGAGATGGTGAATCTTGCCAGGACAGAAAGTGTATCTGCCTCAGTCACCAAGATAATCTTAGGGCCTAACAGTGCCAGGTAAAAGGAGGACTCAGATATTTGGAATAAGGAACAAATGAATGGTTAGTACCATATGCAAAAAGCCAAACAAAAAAATACAGAGTTAAATGGAAGAATATACACAGTCCAGAATGTCACTTTCTGGGGTTAGGATATGTTGGATACCAGATTACAATTCTGGAGACAGAATTTGAGAGGAAAAAAATACATAAAATGAGAAAAAGACTTTTTCCCATCTTTTCATTCAACCACCAGAAGAAAGATTGCTTATTCTTTGTACAAGTTAAGAGGCTTCTTCTGTAAGTAAAATTTTAAAAAATAAAGTTTTAAAAAATAAAATGAAAGGAAATAAACAAAGCTTTCAAGGAACCTCACCATGACCCAGAAACCATCCTATGATAGGAGTATGGAGGTATAGTCATACTGGAGAAAATCCAGTACTCATCTCTGAGAATTTTCAGTCACACAGAAACAGTATTATACAAATGCAAACACTTCAATGGTAAGGTAAAACCTGAGTAGAAAGACAAGAGTAATACAGAGCAAGGTTTTGAAAATAAACTTGCTTTGGAGCTCATAAAGGCACTGTTGAGACATGGCTTTTAATGTTCAAAACGTGCACAATAATCTGGGAAGTGTAATTATAAGATTTTGTGGGGTAGGACCACTGGTTTCTGAGGATGTGGAGGTAGCTCAAAGGCAGGGGGAGGAGAAGGTATATTTTCTGCTTCTTTCACAGGCCTAAGAAATCCAGTTTCTATGGCAGGCCTTACTAGAAGCCATCACACAAGGAACACTATACTCGTTGCATAATTGTGCAGAGTAAAAGAAATAAATATCCTATCTTGAATACTAACGGATGGCTGTTTCCATAGATACCTGATCTTAGCAACCAATTAGACAAAAAGGAGTACTCCCTTAAGTCTACATGCATGACATCTCTGAAATTATAAACCTCTAGCTACTTCAGAAGACCATAAGATGTCAGGGCATGAAGACACTTTGACACATTCTCTCCTGCAAGCCCTCATTTTACATTTCCAGAAAAACTCGGGCCCAGGATGTTTCACAGGCATATTTCTTTCTTCCCCCCACACCCTTAAGTCCCAATTTACTAAAAACTTGTAATGTCAATAATGGAAACTACTGAATCCAATCAGTTTAATGATTGCTACTTTTAACAGGTGTCCCTTAAGGTAACTCTGAGTAAGAACTACCAGGTGTCATACTGGCATCACAATGAAGAACTGGTTCTGGGCTAACAGTTATGTTACACCAAACATAATTTACGCCTGTTCAAGAACTGCAGTGTACTTGGCAGTCTGGCAGCACACCACAGGGTCCTAACCCCAAGTCTCAAGAGCTACGGTGTTGAAAGCTGCAGAAGCTCTGGTGGATGGAGAACTCCGGTTGACAGATCACAGGTGAGCCAGACTCAACTATGGGTGGCAAGGCTGTTGGACAAGCCCCAAGGGAAACACTCTCATTTTGGAAAGTCAAATGGCCATTTATTGTAGGGAGCTTTAGTGAGACCATGGAAAGACTACCTGATTCCTTAGGAAGGAAATTTCACTCCCAGCCTAACAAGGTGGTTTTAAAATAAATATATAAGTCTATCTCCCTCCATGGAGGATTTAGACTCCAGCACTGCACCTAGGGAAGCGAAGGCATGTGAGTCACAGTACGATGACCACTCTGGGTGAGAGCCATGAGGTCCCTGGTACCCGAGACCAGTCAGGGACAGATGCAATAGGGGAACAGAGCAGAGCTTTCTGGCTCACCTGTCAGTCATGACCCTAACTTCTGAGTCATTAGACTCTTCACTATGGTGAGAGGAATGACCTGGGCTCTGTAAACTTTTTTTCATCAGGCAAGAGTGGAGGGTGTGTCCAAACTCTTCCATGACCGGTGAGCTGGGCAGAAGGCAGGCCCAGCCAGTCGGTCCCTCGGGCCAGGGCAGGAAGCGAGAGTCTCTCTTACCCTGGTGCGTGGGGCCGCAGGGCTAACACCAATTCATCCGAAGGAGCATGTCGAGGTCGAGGCAGAAGACTTGTCCCAGCAGGTTCCTGAGCAACAGGTGCTCGAGGCAAGAACTGACAGCCAAAGTGCAGAGACAGTGGGAGGTGGAGAACCAGCAATGTGAGAGCCAAACCCAGGGAAGGAAGGAGGAGTGGGAATATGGACTTGGGAGTCAGACACATCTGGGCTCAGCTATCAGCCCAGTCACCACACAGCTATATGACTGTGGCCAAGACATTTAATCTTGCCAAACCCACTTTCATTACCTGTATTATCAGGATAGTAGCATGTTTCTCTCACGGGTGTCAGGAGTCTTCAAGGACACCAAGCACGTAGCACAGAGCTCACACTAAATGTTAGCTTCTATTATTCAGTCGACACCA